TACTTGTATGTGTGTGTATGACAAATGAACGATTTTAAAGTGAATTTAGTTAAAATTAAAACACGAGAAATATTTGAAGTAATAGTAGGTTAAGTATCTCTGTGTCACGTGGTTTTCTTTGTTTACCTTTAGTTAATTACCTAAACAGATGGACTATAAGTACCTGTGAACAACTGGCAGACATGCTTACTAAGTCTTTATGTAAGGATTTGTTAATTAAGTGTCTAATTCAATGCAATGTTACATTTTAAGGTACTTCACAGAGAAGTTAAACTAGTATAAGATTTAGTTTAATTTGGATGATATGTATAAACATTGAGAAGGGGTATTATAAGTATAGCAATGTTTATTCATAGTTTTAGTTTATTTTGTTGGCTGCAGTGCTAAGAGTGAACGTCATGTTATTTAAATGTCAATGTTGGCAATATTTTTTTTTTTTTCAAGCTTCACTTCTATCGAGGCTGTACGTATATAATATAATATTGTTAAAATAACTCCGAAAATAAATAAGACGAAGGTTAAGAAAAAGTACTGTTTTTCTTTTCTTTTTCAAAATCATCAGTAAGAACAAGATTCTTTGCTAAGCAGTCGTGATTTAATAATAAGCTTTAGTTTAAAAATCAGAATTCCAATCGAATTTTTGGAAGCCGTTACGGAGGGAAGACAAAACAAACATACGCACACACCCATTTAAACCATACGTGTTAGACAAACAAATTTTACTACGCATGTATTAATATATTAGCGTTCGACTGTGATAAACTATTGTATGGAACATAGTAACACTTGATGCGTGTACTAACCGCGATGACGATGACGTAACTGATAAGATCAGGTGATTCAGTTCCACTACACACTAGTTCACACTACAGATAGGGATTTCCCGCTACGCTTTGTTTTAGTACTTCACGGATATACGAAAAATACACTTAAAAGCAAAGAAACGTATCCGTCACTAGAGTTTTTTTTTTCATTTTATCGAACATTCATTTAATACGTTTATCATTGTATATCCCTTTAGGAAATAAAAAAAAACTTATAGTGTATTGATTATGTAAATAATGTGAGTGTATGTTGATGAATGAATCATGAATCAGTTGATATCGTCACCTTTGAAGTCTATTATGTATCGTAATGTACGACACGGTTCGCGGAATTTTATTAAGAAATCAATCGTGGTTTATATGGTATTTAGTATTCGTAGAAAACTCGTAGGTCTCGTGGATAATTATGTACAACTAGCAAATCCGGCGAACTCCGTTTCGACACCAGATGGCTTCGTTTTATGTAACGTTTCGTTTGGTGATTAAAAGATGAAGAAAACATTTTTTCCTGAAGCCTGAAACCTTTCCAATGAATGCAAAACCGTGGAAATCGGTTGGTGCGTTCTGGAGTTAAAGCGTCAGGAAGGAAAACCCGACTTATTTTTATATAGTACCTAATTAGGTATTCACTGCAACTCATGTAAGTAATAGATTTTATAGATGAGGATGACAACGTAGAAAGAGCGTGCTTAATGTGATGACATACTTGAAAAAATAATATAGTACAAACATATAGTAGATACGCCGAATTAAACACAAAAATGATGTTTCTATGTACATACGAACATATCGTAATCGCGCACGCTCTTCAAAAAGACGATAATATCCACCACACGCAACTAATGTCGCACGCAAATTTACTGTACCTATCTGATTCGTTTAATCTATCCAACCAATATCCATGTTCATTATCCATTAATGCTCTGATAACAATGCATAGGTTATAGCGTTCACTTCACATTACCTCGTAAAATGCTAAGCGTAACTAAACGTACATTGTTTGCCAGCTAAGTGCTGGAGTTAAGTTTTTATTTATGCTATAATCCTAGTGTTATCCTAGCGGATATTGTGATCTATGGTTTCAACTTCTAACTTATGGTAAAAGATTAAAAAAAAAATAGTTTTACTATTGGTTGAATGTATTTGACGCTTATAAAAAGGCTCGTTTCACCATCGTCATTGTATCAGTCACAATACTGAATGTAGACATAACATTACGCCTTTTAATGCTACTGTACAATGTAACACCCACTTTTCACTATTTATGTTATGACTCTCATGTAATAGGAGGTAAGCGTATTGCCATATACCGGGCACAATTGCAGACTCCGTGCTACTACTGAGAATTTTTTTTAAACCCTGTAATACTTTGCTCGACCCGGGAATCGAACCGTAGACTCCTTGCCCGGCAGTCAGACTTGCGTCCACTCGGCCAACGAGGCAGTAAATGATCCCCTAATTACTTCCAAATCAGTCGTTTGGATGCGACCGGTCAATAATTCTAAATATATTTTCTTACGGTATCAAATAGGAATATATATAGTCGAAATGTATACAAGCAAAGCGTCACTCATATATAAACAATCTCGAAGTGCTAACTAGAAATGTATTTACGTTATCTTTGAGAACAGTAGTATCAATAGAATTTCACCTTGGTCTTGAGAATTTCCTTGTAAACTGTTCATTGCCATTTATTACATAAATGTTTCTATTTATATTGTTGTCCTTACGTTTTACTAGTGTATTTATTTAATTTACATGAGCAACTACTTTTTTTTTTAAACGTTGCCCCACATTTGGAACTTCTCCTGTGTCGTGGGTGCGTTTACAAACATACAAGTTCACATACACATCACACCCAGACCCGAAACAACAATTTGTGGATCACACAAAGTGTTGTTCCGTGCGGGAATCGAACCCGCGACACGTTGCACGGCATCCAGTTGCCCAGCCACCGCACCAACCGTGCAGTCTTGTTTAGTTACACTGGTGAACTCTACTGAGGTGCAAAAAGAGGTTAAAATCTGCCTTAAAAAAATAGCGTGCAGAACCAAGACTATAGCTTGTGCGTCGCCAACTTTTTTTTAAAGTGAATATGCACTAATTTCAAAATGAGGTGTATAACTCCGCCTGAAAAAAAAAGCCTGCAGCATCATCGCCTGAGCGTCGCCAACTTTTATTTTAATGTGAGTGTGGAGGGATATGAAGATTAGGTCTGTAGTATGATTGATTTCGTGTCTTTAATTGAATAATTTTATAAGTGCTATGCTATGTTCGACTGCACGGTTGGTGCGGTGGCTGGGCAACCGGCTGCCGTGCAACGTGTCGCGGGTTCCGAACAACACTTTGTGTGATCCACAAATTGTTGTTTCGGGTCTGGGTGTCATTGTGTATGTGAACTTGTATGTTTGTAATCGCACCCACGACACAGGAGAAAATCCTAATGTGGGGTAATGTTTAAAAAAAATGTGAACTAAAACTTTAACATTTTAAAGTGTATTTACTACAGATAATATCCTCCTTTAACTCGTCGAGTACCGGTTTTATAGACACAATTAAAGAACAATAGGTTGCGGTCACCGGTGACCGCTTGGTGTTTGACAGTTTAATGTACAATACTTAGTATGTTTGAAAGATGTCGTGGCGATTAACACGACGACTACATAAGGGCGTTCATATGCACAATGACAATGACTTCACAGTTCATATCACTGATATGAAACGATAGGGAATGATTCATTTCCGCTGTATGAAGCTATGGAGCAATTTAACTCCGTGATTACACCAAAATCTGTGTAATTATGTATTGCATGTGACTCTATAGTGATATTTCGCACGTCTTTGATTGAATTTAAAATTATCAGATATCTGTACGTGTATCATATGACAGAAATCGAGCTTTATCCTAGGTTATTTAAAACCGATTGACGTTATACTGATAAGTGTTGTAAAATGACGTATTTTATTGTGTTTAAAATAGGTATTACAATTATTATTGTTTTGATTGCGTCACTGGTTGCAGCTTCAGCAGTCAGTGCAATATGAGTGGTTGGGTTTCCCCAAGACTAAATATTGTTGGGTTTTTCGCTACTGTTGTCTTCAGCAGGCAATATGTAAAGGAGTTTAGAATGGCTTCTGGTTTAATGGCAACGAAAAAACTAAACTGGCGAATGATGAAGCTGATTTACTCGTACGATTAATAGTATGACTACCTATACTTCAGCCAAGTTCAATGTTATTTTTTATGGCATAAGCTGGTAAACGAGCAGACGGATCACCTGATGGTAAGCAATCGGCGGCGTCGCCCATGGACACCTGGAACACCAGAGGCGCTACAAGTGCGTTACCGGCCTTTTGGGAATTAGGAGTTTGAGGATCGTTGGGGATTCAGGAATTGGGGAGATTGAGGAAGGGGATGGTAATTGGGCCTCCGGTAACTTCACTCACACGACAAAACACAACGCAAGCGTTGCTTCACGTCGGTTTTCTGTGAGGTCGTGGTATCACTCCGGTCGAGCCGGCTCATTCGTGCCGAAGCATGGCTTTCCCACACTTAAATATAAAGTCATAAAGTAGAACATAAGGGTAACGTGTCACTATTTAGTGTGACTTCTTATTTACACCAATATTTATCTTCATAAATTTTATCTATGTGGTTTATTAACAGTTCATATCGACCTTGGCCTTAGTATAGTACGTCTATGTTACATTAAATAGCAGACGTGATCTTACGAAATACTCTTCTTCTTCTTCTTTAGCCTTTTTCTACCCTTAGGGTGTAGGCCTCCTTCAGTGTCTGCCATCTCTTTCGGTCTTGAGCAATTTCTATCCATTTCGTGCCAGCTGTTCGTTTGATGTCATCGTACCAACGCATCTGGGGTCTTCCTTGTGGGCGTTTTTCGCCCCACGGTCTACACTCCATCACGGTTTTGCATCACGAACCCTGTTTGCGTGAAATGTGGCCAGCCCACTCCCACTTAAGTTTCGCGATATGCTGTGTGACGTCCTTGACTTTACTCTTCTGTCTTAGCCACTGGTTTCTTTTGCGGTCTCTCAGCGTAACGCCTACCAGCTTCCTTTCTACTGCTCTTTGGGCTACTTGGAGTTTTTGGAGAATGTCTTACGAAATACTAAGTAGTACAAAATTCTATAAAGGGCATGTTTCTTTGTCCGCAGTTCGAGGACTTTGCTCTATTAAACGCTGGTCGTCTCCTGAAGAAGTACCGCAACAAATACTGCACGTTCAACGATGATATCCAGGGCACCGCCAGTGTGGCCGTCGCTGGTCTCATGGCCGCCGTCAGAGTCACCAAGAGGAAGCTCAGTGAAAACATCTATCTGTTCCTTGGAGCTGGTTCTGTAAGTATAATCTTTTATTTATTTATTTATTTATAAACTATGTACATACTATTATCATTACAGGAAGTAATACCTAATGCAATAGTGTATGCCAATATTTATAGAATTAAATTACAAAGTCTCTATTTTACAATTAAGTACTACAGTCGCCGAGAACCTAACGGGTTACCGGGGCTCCGGCGCGACGTGCAGGAGAAGGAACAGGGTGGTTTTTAGACAGTAAGAGTCTGACACTCCCTCCCGCCTCATACAGGCGGGAGCAGCCATTCCATGATTTTCCCCCCTTAAAAAAAGTACAACACTCATGGTAACAATCATATTCCTTAAGCTAAGTCACAGATGGGTACAGGTACAGTATCAAGTTCTTCTGAATTCGATATTCCGACATCACATTGAGCGTCCGCAGCGCACGCGTCAGGTGCGCGCTGTAGGTGCTTAATTCGTACTAATGGCAAATCTTAATAAACTGTGAGATAAGATAGATTTTGCTAATAAAATAAAATTTTGACATATACAATTTTGAGACGCGCTTAAGTATAGTTCTGTTACTACAAATTCTTTGTAAAATGAAAGAGACGGCACGTTATTTAAGTACAACTTAAAATTGAATAGTCTTTTAGTATTCGGGCGTAACATACATGAAATTCGAATTCCATAATTTACTAACAGATAGGGGATTGAGACCGAATCTAATGCCAATTATGATGATGAGACTTTACGTACTAAAACATTCTAAAGAATTGACACATAACATCACGCCTTTTATCCCCGAAGTGGTAGGCAGAGGTGAACAGTATGCAACTGTATAATGTAACATCCACTTTTCACTATCTATGTTATGAGTTCCATGTAATAGGGTGTGAGCCTATTGCCATATACCGGACACAATTCCAGACTCCGTGCTACTACTGTGAATTTACAAAAAAAACCCCAGTAATACTTTGCCCGACCCGGGAATCGAATCCGAGACCCGTATTGCCCCGTAGTCGCACTTGCGACCACTCAGCCAACGAGGCAGTCTAGAGAATTGACATTAATTTAAACTACTGTAGGACAATCGATATAACAAAAGACACATTTTCTTTCCCAGGCAGCCAACGGTATCGCCAGTCTAACAGTAGCTGCGATGGTCGCAGAAGGTTTGACCGAACAACAAGCACAAGAAAGAGTATACATGTTTGATGTCGATGGTCTACTTTCGACGCGCCGCGAAGGTGGTGTACCAGAACACGCGAAGGCTTTCGGAAAGAACATCGAACCTGAGAAGGACTTCGAGGCCTGTGTTGCTAAAATCAAGCCGAGCTGTCTTATTGGTAAGTTATTTGATATTGATTTCACTTTTGACTTTGTTTAAATTAATCGACACGATTAAGTGTGGGAGAGCCATACTTCGGCGTGAATGGGCTGGCTCGACCGGAGTGATACCACGACCTTACAAAAAACCGACGTGAAGCAACGCTTGCGTTGTGTTTCGTCGTGTGAGTGAGGTTACCGGAGGCCCAATTACCCCCCTCCCTAGTCCCCGTCTTCCGAATCCCTGAATCCCCGAATCCTCCACAATCCTCAAATTCCCAATTCCCAAAAGGCCGGTAACGCACTTGTAACGCCTTGGTGTTTCGAGTGTCCATGGGCGGCGCCGATTACTTACCATCAGGTGATCCGTCTGCTCGTTTATCGGCTTATGTTATAAAAAAAGAAAGATAGCTTTAATGATTTTATTAATTGTATTGAAGTCGAATGAAGTTGTGGGTAGTCCATTTAAAGTCGTTGTTTGGTTAGATTACCTATGTTGAAAATAATAATCTCAATTTAAACCAAATGAAACGATTATATAAAGTCATCCGTAAAATATAATGACTAATGTTTATTAGTTAATGAAATTTTATGAATGAGGTGATAACAATGCGCTATTGGTTGCGGTTCATTGCGCTTAGATAACAACGTTTGCGCATACTACATAAGCTAATGAGGCTTAGGAAACAAACACATAACAATCCTTATTCCTTACTTATATTATAAATCGGAAAGTGAGTTTGTTTGTTTGTTCCACTTTCACGCCGTAACTACTAAACCGATTGCTTTTAAATTTTGCAGACGTAAAATTAGAAGTCCGGATTAAATAATAGGGTACTTTTTATCGGTCCCTGAAAAATTTGATATTCCCGAGGGAAAACCAAAGTATTGATATAGATGGCGCTGGGTGTATTGGTATATGTCACATTGGTTTTTTATCCTTTTGTGACGCGAGCGAAGCCGTGGGTAAAAGCTAGTTAAATTATAATTTTAAGGCTTTAAGCTTTTGTTCAATACCTTTAGTTATTTTCTCGACTGCACAGTGGGTGCTACGCAAAAATTTGATACTAGTCCAAAACAATTATTATGAATTACCTCCAAATTGTTGTTCTGGGCCTAGACGTGAGGTAGATGCATCCTCCACGCAAAAAAACCTACTAGACTACTAACCAATCAAGATAGGTTAAAAAATATGAGGTCGTGGCTTAAATCTAATTTTATATTCCAGGATGCTCGACGGTAGGTGGTGCTTTCACCTCAAACGTTCTACAACAGATGGCTAAGAATACAGATCGACCAGTTATCTTCGCGCTCTCCAACCCGACAAGCAAAGCCGAGTGTACTGCTCAAGCCGCCTACGATAATACAGAGGTCAGTTTCAACCTTTTATGCCTATGCAATTTTACAACTAATAAGAGTGGTTTAAAATGCGACTACCGAGAATGAGGTACAGGGTTCGATTCCCGATTTAGACAAAGTGTTATTCGTCGTATTAGATTATACTCCAGTTTTCAGAAATTTCCAAATATTTGATCATAAACACGCAATCTTTGTATATGGCATGTCTAAATGACATTTTTAGAACTAATTTATATTGTTAACATATTTAAAAAAAATATCTTCCTACAACGCATTGCATGCGCAAAGCAGTTAGCGCAAAATATCGTGATGCGCAAGAAATAGTTATATTTGTGTAAAATATTATTACTTAATGTAAACAAGCTTTTTATGTATGTAGCGGTTAGCATGACGTCTAACTATCTACTACTACTATGATGACAGTCGATAAGAATCTTGCAGACGACACAAAGATAGTGGAGAATAATTTGTCTTATATGCTTTGTGCGCGTAGGATTTATGAGTGTGATTTTACAGTGAATTACATTGTCGAACTGTTTTAAATAATATTATTTCAACAAAATCTCTCATATCTATATAGATATGAGAGATTTTGTTTAGGCGCTAGCAAGTTGCTGCAGCAGCTACCCTAAACTTCAAATTCTCATCTAATGGGATATCGCAGAAAGGATTAGTAACATTATCATCAACAGCCTATAAGTGGCCTCTGCTGACCAAATGCCTCTTCTCGCATGTAGAAGGTTTAAGCATTAATCCACCACGCCACGCACGATTTCAAACTTATGATTGGCAAAATATAAGCCCAAGTTTTTTCATTATTTTCTCAGTGCTGCCACGATTAGTCAGTAGTGTTTGAATAATCTTAGAAAGAACGTACGTCATCATAAACAGCCTATAAATGCCCACTGCTAAGCAAAGCCTCTTCTCACACGGAGAACGTTTGGGCATTAATCACAACGCTTGCTCAATGCAGGTTGACGATTATAAACTAATAATTAGAAATTATAAGCCGAGGTTTTCTCACGATGTTTTCCTTCACCGTTTGTCAGTGGTGTCTAGATAATCTTAGAAAGTACATATAACTTGGAAAAAGTCACATTGGTACTTACCGTTAGTAGGTTTTAAACGCGCACTCTCATGAGAAGCGGGCGTCTTGAACCTCCGGGCCAGTAGTAGTAACCTGTATCTAAGTGTATATTATCCCTTTTCACAGGGACGTTGCATTTTCGCGTCCGGCTCTCCGTTCCCCCCCGTGAAGTACAACGGCAAGGAGTATCACACCGGCCAAGGCAACAACTCATACATTTTCCCCGGCATCGCCCTCGGAGTTATCGCCACCGCTACCCACCATATACCTGAGACCATGTTCTTGACTGCCGCCAGGGTACGTATTCTATTATGAAGTAATTTGTTGTGTGAGAATTATTGTGCAGGTTTTAGTACATCTTTACATACTACATAACATAACATCACGCCTTTTATCCCCGAAGGCGTAGGCAGAGGTGCGCATTACGGCACTTAATGCCACTGAACAATGTAACACCCACTTTTCACTATTTTTGTTATGATTATCATGTAATAGGATAATCTTTACATACTCTGTGCTGGAATCCACGTCTTTACTGCTGGATAAAGATCTAGCATTTAAAAGCTTTAAAAATGTATTAGCCTAATTTCCTTTTATTATCTGGGATCCAAAAGGAATTGCACCTATATTGTTTACTTCTATCGTAATTTTATACCTGTAGATTACTATAACAGCGCATTATTAATAAATATCTGCTAACGTATTTAGTTTTAAAGTTGTTTTTAATTTGTTTGCAGACTTTAGCCCATTACGTCAGCGAGGAGGATCTTGCTATTGGACGTATTTACCCATCACTGGCTGAGCTCAAAGAAGTTTCTGTTAACATCGCCATTGAAGTTGCTAAAATGGCTTACGATGAAGGTACGTCGTACTTCGACTTATTTTTATCCAATTGAACGTTCAACCTTATTGTTCTACCTTTAAAATGTTTATAAAACAATACCTTTATTTTTTTGTAGCTTAGTAACGAATTTTCTCAAAACATTTTTTTCTTTTGCAACACTTAGGTCGAGTTAATAAAAGAAATGTAGTACTGGAATATGAAATGGTTTGTTTTTCAATATCTACGTAGAATGAGTTCATTAATTGGCGTCGAATTAAAATGATTCAATTTCTTAGGTCTCGGATCTGTATACCCAATGCCAAGAGATATTAAAAAACACATCAAAAGTTTTCAGTACATCTGTAAATACGCTACTCATTTGCCGGACCGTTACAGCTGGCCGCCGAGTCCAAAAGTTGATTACAAATCGTCAACAGGCTTACTTCACCCGTGCAACACATGACATTAATGAAAATTTTATATTTAAATCAATTATATTATATGTTTTATATTTAATTCTTGCTAGTTTTCATCTTGTGTCAACTTAACACGGCTTATTTGCGATTTTGAGTAAGAGATTTTTGTTTTACTTTTGTAGAGTATTGGTGTATTGTTAGTTTTGAAGGGCCTCGCTTAACATGACTCTAAGGTTAGGGCTGGCTAAATTTTTTTTACTCAAGCAATGAGAAAATCAACTGTATCAAGTAGATTGTATTAAAAACTAGCTGACCCTGCAAAATTCATACCGCCTACAAATATTTCCCATCTTTTAAACCTTCCCTGGACTTTCTCGAACATTTCAGGACCAAAATTAGCCAAATCGGTTCACTTGTTCTCGAGTTTTAGCGAGACTAAGCGAAAAGAAATTCATTTTTATTTATATAGAAGTCATGTTAAGCGAGGCTTGTAGTAGTCGTGTCGTCTTTAATATTTAATTAAAGTAGATTGGATCGCAGGTTATTTGATTCGTAATGTTAGCTGTACGGTTACAGAAAATTGTATAGAAAACAATAGTAAAATAATCTTTAATTGTATCACCAGTAATATAGCAGTAGTTATAATCAATTTTGAATCTTATTTCTAGTTACTAAATCCTAAATTCTTTTACAGGTTTAGCTTCAGTGTACCCTGAGCCGAAGGATCTTTCGAAGCACGTACATAACCAAATGTACAATTTCCATTACGAGAGCTCTATGCCAGTCGTCTGGGATTGGAAACCAGAGGAGAAATTTAATGTAAGACCTATTCAACCAGTCCCCAAAAACATTTAAATCAGTATTAGTTTCGTTTGGGTTATGTGTCAAATGTACTAGAAAAATTAGCCCGTTCAATCGTAAAAATCTATGTGGTATATGAAGTTAGAACTAAGGAACACGTATGTTCGTTGCTTATTATTGAAATATCCCAGTGATAAAAAATGTCCCTAAAAGTACTATTGTACACCAAGTATGGCTAATGACGTCATCGGTTATTGGCCACGCGAAGAAAGGCATGAATGTTGTTAAATTTATTTTTTATTAATCATAGAAAATTAAGTACATTTATTTATGTTTGAGTGAAAATGTGTTTGCTCACAAAATCATGAATAATTATTATATTTTTTTCGTACACATTTGAGTTTTACTATTGAACAATCGGGCTTTAAAAATGGGTTTACATCGACGTAGCGTAGTGTGTTGCCACACGACATTGTCCTACAATAAACATTCACTATAACATAAGACATAAAATATTAAAATGCAACACACCACACTACAAGAAAAATCCAACTTATATAAGTTAATTTAAATTATGGAACGTTCGTTTTGGAATGTTGGTAGTTATGCAATAAAAGATGCGTTCAGTGCACAACGCCTTTAATGGGAGTGTTCATGTTGTCCATGTATTACTGTTACAATAATTATTTTACACAAAGTATTTTATACCTCCGTAATTTACATAGTAAATATTTAATGTTCAAACTAGAAAAATCTTTATTAATACACTTAGGTTTAATGTCCAGTTACTTGAATCTCTTTTGGTGTATTTCTCTCTATTGTTAGGCGTATAAGTATTCTTTTAAAAGTATTACATATTAAATCTATAGGTCCTTCATGGAACATTATTATCAAACAATATTTCTGGATATGTTCACAATAAACTCTTGTGAGTAACTGGACTTAATCCATGTTTAATGTAGTGTTTCGACTGTATCATTGTGTGCAATTAGCTTGTAGTTGAGCAATTTTAACATTGTTATCGTATTCAGTGTGGAAATAATAATAATGGTGGCCTTTTAACATTGTTTTTAGCTTTGCTCACTAAATGTTATATAGCTACAATTCGGAATATTAGATTCGGACAATATTTAGTGCGGTGAATAAAATAACATTGGTTTTTTCTTTTCATACTGTTTTTAGTAACATTTGCCAATTAGTTTACTGCGACTTATAATACAATAGTTATTTATTGCTTGTTTTAGCTATCATTTTCATCATAGTGACATGCCAAGCTATTTATTTAGGACAATATTTTTCTAACATTATTTTTAAGCTGTAAATGAATTGTTTAGCAAAATGGAATGTACCTACTTAAATGTTGTGAATATTTAAATTAAATAACACGTTTTATGGAATGGAAGATAAGAAAAGTCTAGTCACCGCAGCATTAAAATGCAGGTCATCTATTTAATTTGCATTTCACATCATTATAATTATTATAAGCATTAGGAAAGAAATACAAACATGAATAATTATAAAGACATTTAGAGACTAATCGATTAGAATGTCTAGAATTTATTGTGGAAATGTTGTAAAATATGTTTACAGTTTTAAAAATGTTAACATGTTTTTAATCGCGTTAATTCTGATATTTCTTTTAATCAATGACCACACATCTTACAAGCATTTATTTTATATTAAACAATACATTAATGTATTTACACGATTCGGTAGGTTTTTATTAAAATCTGTATCAGTATCCATAGTGGTCGTGAATCGAAGAAACAATTTTAAATAATAAATATAATTAATATTGCGTGTCTCTGCAACTATAAAGGACGAATAAAATGTAACTTGCTACCTAGTAGTTTTTTATCATTATTGTTTTGACTAAGTATTATTTTTGAATTCAGTATTTTAATAATAGTGAGACGAACTTTTCGCTGAGCGAATTAAATACAATTTTTATTTTAGGTAGTCAGTTATTTATGTTTCTATATGTATCTGGTGATATTATGTGATTTTACTTGCTGTGACGATGTATAATAAAATTTATCCCACTATACATGTTTGTTATTTTTTGGCTTAATGTTGTACGAAATAAAACCGCTTACGTAATGAAAATATCTTCTGTAAGTTGGTCAATTATACGGCAATACTTATAAGCAGGGTTTTATTTCATTTACAATGGTTGATTTCATTACGTCAATTAAATGAGTACCACCTTTATTGTAATGCAGCTTGGCAAAAGATAACATTATTGTGTTAGTTAATGCGATTGTTAAAATGAAAATTATAGATGTTACTCATTAAACATGTTCCAAAGATAAATATTTTTGTTTTATTTAACTTTTGGTGTACCCTTTACAACTAGTACTTGTAGATATTGCGATATCGAAAATACACTTACCTAATTTATTTTCTGCAATTAAACGATCTGAGGCCAGAACGCGCAGATGACTTTATACTAGATTCAAACGCAACTTAGTAATCGTGACACGCGGCTCTACTGCGCGTATTCGCGCTGTAGTCGCTCGAGACCTCGTAAACGCGCAGTTACAGCGCGTTATACGCCTTCCAAACGCATGTATCCACGCTTCACGTGGGCGTTTGTGTTTCCCCTATACATATTATACTCTTTGGTTTGTGTATACTTATACTTTTTAGCTTGTGTCATTAATGCTAGTGCAACAATCGGCGTTTACGGCGCCAAAAGCAATAGATGGGTGAATAGAAACTATTCTCTCTTCTGTCTCTATGCAACTCACAATTCATATTCATCCTCAAGTTATCAGAACCAAGTACAAGAACAAAATCTATACTTATAATAAATCTGTAGAGAGGTCAATTCTGTACATACAAAATACAATATTTAAAAAATAACTATCAAGGGGTGGTTAGGGATCGCTACTCATGCCAAAAATGCAATCAGTAAAATTTTTGTCTGTCTGTCTGTCTGTCTGTCTGTCTGTCTGTATGTTCGTTATGGAAACAAAAACTACTCGATGGATTTTAACGAAATTTGGCACAATTATTCTTCATACTCTTGGGCAGGTTATAGTATACTTTTCATTACGCTACAATCAATAGGAGCAGAGCAGTGAAGGGAAATATTGGAAAAACGGGAGAAGTTACTCCATTTTTTAAGCTTCCGTCGCGTGTGAAGGCTTATAGGTTAAAGCTGCATAGAAATCATGTATGACGGAAATATTCTCCTTAAAATTATATAAAAAATATTTCTGGACAGCATATGTCTATCTTTTATGGTTGACTCACAATACCACGTGAAACTCCCTAAAGCTTAGCAATTCGGTGATTTTGATTGTATTTGTCTACTCCTAACGTTTACAATACTCATTCATAGACTTTACGCTGTAACTGAAAGGCCAATGGTTGAAATTAGCTTGACTCGATATTATAAATGAAAATATGTGAGTTTATGTGTATGTTTGTTACTCAGTCATATTAAAACGACTGAAGGGACCGGAATGAAATTCGGAACAGAGGTAGATTATGCTCTGAAGTGATACATAGGCATTTTACCCCTGGGATCGCGGGCGAAGCCGCTGGCAGAAGCTAGTAAATAAATAAAATAAGTAGGGTGGTAATTGTGTGTTGTGTTGATTTAAATATAGTTTAAATATAAATAAATAAATATAAGTTGGAACGGAGTAAGAAAGAGTTTGCTATACAACTAGCATTAACCAATTACACAAGGCAATACAGAACATGTACAGAGCATAGAACTATTCTTGGTAGGTACCAAACTCTTTGCGTTATGTTTGCTGTGATATATAAAAAAAATATATTAAAAGAATTATTCTTTGACAACTTCATTGTCAAGGTGTAAAGTTTTATAATGGATTTATTGTACAAAAACTAAAGCAGGTATTTATTTACTTATCTTGTATGTTACTGGTAGCTCTGTTAGCAAAATATTAAATTAGAATATTTGTATTATTCTTTTTAAAACTTCCTGCAGTCGTAGGACAGGTTGGGTAGCTACACCTTTGACCCACCGTTCAAAGTTGCATTAAATACAACACACCATTTATCCGTGGTACTCCCAGTTGCCCGCTTCCGTTACTAAGTAGGTTAGTAGGATCTACCACATCCAACTTTGATTGCTTGCCATATTTGAGACTATGGTAGAATAAACCCGACGGAGAAGGACTGTAAATGTGTGCCCCACCTATCGGGGCTCTGTCTACCTAAGAGCCTACTTGTTCTAGTAGGTACCTACTTGTTCTCTGTCGATTCGCTCTAGGCAGAGCGGTCGTGGTCACGTTGAGGCCGCCCGACCTCCCGCCACCTCTCACTGTTTGTGAAGCGTTTGGCGCAATGTGACACCGTTTCCTATTACCGATTTCACATGATCAGTCCAGCGCATAGGTGATCTGCTTCGTGCTCTGGTTCGTGCTCTGGTTCCTGCTCTACTTTCCCCTGCACGACCAGCCCTTCTATGGAGTTGTTATCGCACCTGGAGACAGCAAAGAATGCGCGTCTGTACTGGTTGATAGACGCTTTGTGATGCCGAGTTTCCGGAGTAGGTACGGATACATTGGTACGATATGCGGATATGCCAAATATTTTCCTCCAGCACCACATCTCTAGAGCATTTATTTTCCAATTTACGTACTGTCCACATCTCTGCCGCGTAAAGGAAGATGGGCAATACCAGCTTATTGGTTGTGAGAATAACCTCGACCTATAACGAACGAGAATGCGATCGAGCTCATTTCCAGAGATCGAATTGACTTCTTACAGAATTCTTCTTCTCTGTCGTTTCGTGGCAGAGCGGTCGTGGTCACGTTGAGGCGGTCGTATTTGTGTTGGAAGCGGATACAGCTATCCTCACGATCTCCCGCCATCTCTCTCTGTTTGTGGATTGTCTGGCGCAGTCTGACACTGGGTTTCCCGTTGCCGATTTGACTTTAAGATTACAGAATAATCTCCTTGAATTCTTCTAACTTTGATTAGTAATCAACATGGAAACAAAAAAAGACAATTATTCCTGTTATACAAAATTGTGATACTGCAGGCTGCTGGCTCATTCTAATATTAACTACTGGCGAGTTGTCATTGACGCGGGCACGATTATTATTTTCGTCTGCTATGCATGGTGATAATTTGTGATTTGTTATAAGTCATTGAATATTACATTTTCAGTTTATTTTATGTTTAAAAAAGAGACAACTTTGGTAAAGTAATCGAAATCTGTTAAACAGTTGTTATATATAGTTATCGAGCTATTTTATTATGTGTCTAATTTTAATGTTTTTCCCATAGATTGAATATGAGGTCTGTAAAAGCAAATTTTCTAGTAAAAGAATACATAAACAAAAATCCTCTTAGAATATTAGTTCGTGCATACAGTGACGAGGAGGTTATTCCAAATTCAATAAGAGGTTTTGATTACATAAGACACCCGAGACTTAATAAGGTAAATGGAAATAATTATAATACTTATTTAATTAAAAAAGATTTATTATTAGTAGTGGTGTGTATAACTCCAAAGACAGCTACAACATACTCTGTTTTTATAGGGTTTAGCATTCACATTGGAAGAGCGACAAACGCTAGGAATACACGGATTGTTAGCAAGTACCGTCAGAACACAAGACGAGCAACTTGCAATCTGCAAGTACTCATTGGAACGTTACGGAAGCCCGCTTAATAAACATCTTTATTTGGCGGAGTTGCTGGTAATCTTAAAATGTTAAAAGAAAACTTAAAACTAGAAATAGTTCCACGTCCATACAAATAAAAAGAACAGAAATATTGTAACAGAGCGTTCTTGTTGCGAGTGCATAGTACCTATGTCTGACTATGTGCGCCTACGTCGTAGCAAGCACTGCTTTAGGCGCAATCATTGATGTGGCAATTTATTTAATAGAACGCTATAGGTACTCATGTAGTTAGAATATTCAAATTTTATAAACTCAATGTTTGATTTGACAAATTCCTCAATGTTTACTCAAATTAGGGAACAACTACCTACCTGGTTGGTATAAGTTGAATTATTTTCTAGGATACCAATGAGAAACTGTTCTACGAGTTAATGAGTACAGACGTGGAGAAATACTTGCCTCTTGTTTATACTCCCACCGTGGGTTTGGTTTGTCAAAGGTTCGGCCTAGTATACAAGAGGCCTCGTGGTCTCTTTATAACAATCCACGATAAAGGCAAAATTCACAGAATTCTTCGGAATTGGTGAGTTGATTTATTTTTCATTTATTCGTTGTTGTTGCTGATTGAAAACAAATAACTTTGTTATTAGAGTACTGTAGCAGTATTGGTAGGTGCAGAAAAATGAAGTAGGCATGTAATACTTATTTTTTTAAACGATGCTCCTTACAGTAAGATTGACTTTTTCTTGTGTCGTGGGTGCGTTTCCAAACATGCAATTTTATGCATACATACTTAACACCCAAATTCGGACAATTTGTTGGACAATAAATTGTTAGATTAGGAATCAAATTTAATTCGTTTTTATAAATATTTTTAAAGGCCAGAATCACACGTGCGCGCAATCTGTTTTACTGATGGTGAGAGAATATTGGGTCTGGGTGACCTTGGTGCTTACGGTATGGGTATACCGATAGGCAAACTGTGTTTGTATACTGCACTAGCTGGAGTCCCGCCTGCGCACTGTTTACCTATTACTTTGGACGTGGGCACCAATAACCAGGTAGGTAGCTTCTGAACTCATGTGTTAGGTCTGACTTGACAGCTTTGTTGGTTAAGTGGTTGTAAACTCCAATGCCACAAAGGTCAAGGCAGCCAACGACACAAAGGTTTGGTTAAAATATATTGGGAATTCGATTTATTAATTCCTCCAGAAGTAGAATTGTACCCGGTATAATAAAAACTGACCCCTTGTTATAATTAGGTAACTACTTATTACATAACTTACAAAAAGTGGCTGTTACACTTAAAATGTTAGGCCTCTGTTCGGGGTATAAAAAAACCATCGAAATTTTGGCTCATAACTTGCTTCTTATTGTTGTTTAAAAAACTTATGTTTTAGTCGCTACTAGAAGATCCCATGTATATAGGAATACGACAGAAACGAGAAACAGGCAGTGCATACGATGAGTTGATCGAGGAATTTATGGTGGCGTGTGTGAAACGATATTCTCAAAACGTGCTTTTACAGGTATGCTTTTGGTTAATTGTTCGTTTAGTTTAATGTATATTTTGATGATAGTAGGTTTTTTTCGATAGGGATAAAAACCTTTCAATTTGATCAACTATCTCATTGGCCGAGTACCTACTTAGTTGCAATGCAAATATTTTTGTGTTTTCGATTTCGATTCGGTCGAGAGCACTATTATTAGTACAATGGCATAGT